CACCAGTCTCGAGTCCAGACGACACGAACACCATCGACCTGATAATAAAACTTTCCATTTAGAACAAAGCGAGATTATTTAACTAAAATGTTCATTAGGTTCAGAAAAACTGGTTTTGGAATGGTCACTTTGTTGGAAACATCGTTGTAAATCAAAATGAAACTTAGCTGTATGGTCTCTTCCAACAGTATATTTGTATACAATAATGATTCAACATCAAACTTAGCTCATTGTACATTACTAGTAAACTGTAACTTTTGTTGTATTTCTTGATAAAAATCAAAACTCTTCTTTAAAGTGTAATCGTTGGTGGTAAACGTTTTCAGTTATTCAACTAAAAAAAACAGCTAAAGCATGGTTAGAGGTTCCATTATTAGAAACAATAGATAGCAATGTAACTCTTTCTTTAGGAGTATTGGGTAAACCGAAAAAAAATCCCATGTGACTATTTGACGGTCTGAAGCTGAAATACTGTCTATCATTAAGAATATTATCTTTTGTATTTCAGTAGATATCTGCATTTAGCTTTCCTTTTATCAGTAGGATCATTATGCAGTTTCACAAATTGAGTAGTAGAATCACTTAAGATATCTTCATCTTTCTTTATATGAACATTTTTACCTAATACTACAATCCTATGTCCTTTATCAGATGTAGAAATCTCATTACTCTCATTTCTTCAATATTTGAACAGCAATATCAAGTTTACAATGTACAGTAGTATTCCAGACATATTTGAACTATCTAAATATCCTGTAGTTGTCAGTTGACCATATATATCGGTAAATTTTCTTTAATTGCTAAAAATTAATTAAAGAATACTGTTAAAAGGGTGTATCTACAGATACGCTTGTGATGTGTCTTTGAACCTAACTGTCGCCTACAATTTTTCTTTAGGTTTAAGGACCGAATAAATGATTTACAATTATCATTTATTGTTTATAACCTTATCTGTCTTCTCTGTCAGAAAGGCTACACCGGTTCTACTAAAAGCAAGTTGATAACGCGAGTGAAATAACATATTAACCTAAGATACCCCATTAAGTCTAGTGTATTTTAACATGCTATAAGAGAATCTGAAGTTGTTATATCATCTAAGATTTTAGCACGGGCCAGTGATGAACAGAGCCTCCGAATATAGGATAGCTTGCTCATTCACAAGTTGAGGCCTAAGATCAGTGTTGAAGAAGCTGCTATTATTATTATGAAAACTATTTGAAAGTTTACTTTTGTTTACGGTATCACTTTCTGGTTTTATCGTAACATAAAATGCTAAAAGCTTATGATATTCACGTATTTGCTCATTTAAACTCTATTTGTGCAACGTATAAATTGCATGTGACTGAATTCGAAATAATAAAAAATTCTACGAGATTTTTAAGAATATGAAACATACATATACTATCATGTAAAGAATCTGGTCACGTCAGCTATTTTCTTGCATGTCAAAGCATGCAATGCTCTAAGCTTCATCCCATTGCCTTGGCAACGTGATGCTGTATGCAACTTTCCTTCCGATCAGCCGATATGTCTGACATAGCCAGGTGGTTAGGGCACTTAACTCGTAATTGGTAAAGAGTAGCTCAAGAGTTGGTGGTGGGTGGTGTTGAGTAACTGCTTTCCCTCTACTCTATCATTACAGAAATTAGGGGTGGCTAGCATCGATAGGACTCGGGTAGCTTTGCGCGAAATTCGAAAGGAACAAACCGATCAGCGGTGCATTAGCTAAGGCATACAATTATAAAATTGGATTGTTCGAGATGGAATGTTTGCCCTTGAAAACAACATGTTATCTAGTACTTGACTGGCTGCACATCACACGTCATGTCACCATGCCAACCAAGTCAAGATTTTTGAAGAATTTCATATCTAATAGCGCTGTTAGTTTTTTTGTCTCATCTATCTAAACGCTTTCAAAGCCAATTACTTACTTCACAAAGTAAGAAAACACGAAATAAAACAATAGGAAAACAATTGAGGAACTATATAGTTACATAAGTAAAGGCTTCCGGTTCTCGTACATCTAAAAACTTCCGAATCAAAAGTAAAGTCCGTCATACACTACAGCAGCATCATTGCTCTAACCATTGTTAGCCTTGAAAGCTAAAAAGTCAGTTTGTGAATATATATATATATGTATGTGTGTGTGTTTATATATATATATATGTGTGTGTGTGTGTGTGTTTATATATGTTAAAAGAAAATATTTTTATTTATCCTCTAAAAAAGTTGTTGCATACCTTGATAAAAATGTCACTCTCTCCTATTGTTCTGTATCATCTAGCCATTACTGACTCCGGAACCATAAAAACCTTTAGAGCCTATTCTCATAGAATTGCAAACAGAAAGAAAATATATGTAACACATGTTAATGTTGATAACTCTTATACTAGCTTGTGTGTTTTTATTTGATAAAGAAATTCTAATATCAAGATTATTCTATAATTTAGCTTTTCACAAGGTATAACTCACTTTCTCTTTCTAATCTCTCGCTTAAATTCCACGTGTAAACCTTTGTTGAACATGTTGTAGCCAGGTAGTTTAAACAGTATACTAGTGGTGGAAGATTGTTGGTCAACCCCGGGTAATTTAAACAGCATACGAGTGGTGGAAGGTTGTTGGTCAACTCCGGGTAGTTTAAACAGCATACCAATGGTGGAAGGTTGTTGCTCAACCCCGGGTAGTCTAAACAATATACTAGTGGTGAAAGATTGTTGGTCAACCCCGGGTAGTCTAAACACCATACGAGTGGTGGAAGGTTGTTGGTCAACTCCGGGTAGTCTAAACAGTATACTAGTGGTGGAAGGTTGTTGGTCAACCCCAGGTAGTTTAAATAGCATACTAGTGGTGGAAGGTTGTTGGTCAATCCCGGGTAGTCTAAACAGTATACTAGTGGTGGAAGGTTGTTGCTCAACCCCGGGTAGACTAAACAGTATACTAGTGGTGGAAGATTGTTGGTCAACTCCAGGTAGTTTAAATAGCATACTAGTGGTGGAAGGTTGTTGGTCAGCTCCGGGTAGTCTAAACAGTATACTAGTGGTGGAAGGTTGTTGCTCAACCCCGGGTAGACTAAACAGTATACTAGTGGTGGAAGATTGTTGGTCAACCCCGGGTAGTCTAAACACCATACGAGTGGTGGAAGGTTGTTGGTCAACTCCGGGTAGTCTAAACAGCATACGAGTGGTGAAAGATTGTTGCTCAACCCCGGGTAGACTAAACAGTATACTAGTGGTGGAAGATTGTTGGTCAACTCTGGGTAGTTTAAACAGCATACTATTGGTGAAAGATTGTTGGTCAACTCCGGGTAGTTTAAACAGCATACTATTGGTGAAAGATTGTTGGTCAACTCCGGGTAGTTTAAACAGTATACTAGTGGTGGAAGATTGTTGGTCAACCCCGGGACTTATATCATGTATATCATGTTTACGTCAGCTGGTTCTTAAACGTGAAATACAATACATACAAAATATTGAGCTAAATCTTCTGCTTTTCACACAAAAAATGATGATTATTGTAGAACACGCTGGTGACCTGCTCCCGGAACAAAACGATTAGCTTGTTGGTTCTCCAGTTATGTTCTTCTTAATGATTGTAAAGTTAATTCAAGTAAAGAAATAATAACTAATTGGTGTTTTTAATAGAATAAATTTGATAATAATTACCATTTAACTTCATCAAGTTCACACCATAACAGTTGTTATAAATGTAATTGATGCTATACTTAGTGCCTCGACCAGTACTATATCTGTTATATCCCAGCCGGCCTGATGAGCCCAGTATTGAAGGAAGAGTCTCTTCAGCACCGGATATGACAGATGTAGAGTGGCTGACATATTATTACGCAATCGTCTTTGCTTTCACCTGGCATGGCCAGGTGGTTAGGGCACTCGACTCGCAATTTGCGGGTCGCGGGTTCGAATCCCCGTCACACCAAACATGCTCGCCCTTTCAGCCGTGGGGGCGTTATAATGTGGCGGTAAATCCCAATTCGTTGGTAAAAGAGTAGCCCAAGAGTGGGTGGTGATGACTAGCTGCCTTCCCTCTAGTCTTACACTGCTAAATTAGGGACGGCTAGCGCAGATAGCCCTCGTGTAGCTTTGCGCGAAATTCAAAAACAAGCAAACAAACAAACCTGTTGATGCGTTGGTTGCTTGACTCGCTCTAAGTGAAAAAGACTAGCTTCTGATTCGCCAAGTTTTTGTGAAACTTGCAGGGTGTTAGAATATGTGGTGTTAGAATAAATAAATAATATAGTGTTAAGAATCTTTACCTTAATTCTGAGGTGTTGTGACATAGATAGGAATGATGAAAATATTAAACTCCAACTTAATTCAGTTCATACCATAACAGTTGTTGTTAAGGAATTTGCTAATATATATATATATATTGTATATATGTATAGTTTTTCAACCATTGGTATGTTCTTCGTATCCCAGCCGCCCTGATGAGTCCTAATATTGAGCGAAAGGCCTTGTCGGCACTGGATACGGCAGATATAGTGTGGTTATCATTTATTAGATATTCTTCTTTGTTTTCACTCTTAACCTCTTAAAATTGCTTTACGTAAGTAAAATGGGCATTCATAAATATTGACTTAAAAACGCTCCCCTTGAATGCTGCAATTTCTTTGTTAAAATGCCGGGAAGGAAAGTATGCTTTGTTCTGCATATTGATTTCATGTGTTATTTACGAGATAAACAAGCATATCTAATACAGTCCTTTTGGTGAAAGGCATTCTTTTTCCTATGCCTTAATCCTTTTATTTCCCATTATTAAAAAACTTGCAAATGTTCAAAACATTCACTGATCGTTAAGTTTCAATATCGTCCATTAATACATCATTAAACGCTATCAATCCTAGCTTCAGCTATTTTCAGTGATAGAAAATAAGGGAGCTTAAAACCTGACTGAATTATTTAAATTTTTTAAGTGGTTTAACACATGTAAGTGGTTTTAAGTTATTTAACACATTAACGTTTTTTTTCTCTCTCTTTTGTAAGGTGTGGATTGCATTCAATGGAGAGCTCAAGCTACAACTCCGGAAGTGAAAATCCGTCTTCTAATGGCAATATTTCAAGTTTTAACTCCACAAGAGTCGAATATATGAACTCGAGAAGTAGCGAGGTCGGACCACTGATTCTCTATGGTGTATTTTCCGTTTTTGGATCTACCATTAATATCTTCGAAATAAGTTCGTTAATTGTGCAGGAAACACTCTGCAGACGTGGAAATGTGCTTTTAGTAAACCAGGCTTTAGCTAATTTACTTGTTAGTGCTGTTTCTTTTCCAGTCATGTGTGTCGCCATATTGGCAGGCTTACGAAACGAACACTTTATCTGCGAGTGGGAGTGGCACACGGCACTTGCTTGTTTTCTGGTCACTGTGATGAATTATCTGTGCATTTCAGTAGAGAACTATCTTCAGACGTGCAGAAAAGAAGGCGACCTGTATGACAACTGCTTTCGAGTCCAGTTGATACTCATCCTCATACTGACAACATGGGTTGCCGCCATCTCCTTTGTAACTACGTTATTTGTCTTGCAGAGAGGACCTAATCTCTGCCAGGAGAACTTTGAAGATAGCAGCATGCTTTTTGTGTTTTTTGTACCTGTATTTTTAACGATCACAGTATTTGCCAAGGCAGTTTACGAGCAACGAAATATTACACAATCTTTATCGCAACAAAATAGTATAGGAAGTCGTGAGGAAATACTTCAGCGCCACCTGCTAAACAGCAATGTTGTAGCTTTTACTTTATTCTTGTGCTTTTGGCTCCCTTTTCTTATCTCGCTCACCCTACATTCTATGACATCGGTGCCCCCTATCAGCACGATTCACCAACTTTTTACGCTTGCACAAATTTACAGCTGTGTTTGCGGCATAGTGTATGCGTTGATACATGATTCATTCCGACAAGGCTACATTTACCTGATCCGGTATTTGTGTTTTAAAACCCATGGAGAATTGTCTAAGCTCATGACTCCAGAAAAAACACGAGGAACAGTGCGGGTGCATATTGGAATGGAGACAAGGGTTGGGGATCGAAGTCGAAAATCCACCAGGATTCCTTGTGTTATATCACACTATGAATCCAGTAGCTCGAAATGTGAGGAAGATTTTTTGTGAAATCTTCAACCTAGACTGTAAAGTCAAAGGCCATTTTTCACATTGTTTACACCCAGCTTTATTCACGCGTTTATATTCTTTGTTCTAAAACATACTAAAGAATTATTGTTAAAATAAGTATTTGATGTTGGAGGAATTGGAAAACATTACTGAAGCGAAGACCAAATCTTATTGGCTCTTGTACCTCTGTTAAGACTAAGAGAACATTGCTGAAGCGAAGACCAAATCTCATTGGCTCCTGTACCTCTGTTAAGACTAAGAGAACATTGCTGAAGCGAAGACCAAATCTTATTGGCTCCTGTACCTCTGTTAAGACTAAGAGAACATTGCTGAAGCGAAGACCAAATCTTATTGGCTCCTGTACCTCTGTTTGTGTTTACAAAAACTAAATTATTGTAGATATATTTGGTTTTTGGAAATTTCATTTAGCAATTAAAATAATGAAAGACAAAATATGCGCATGTACAATCTATAAACTATTTAGACGTCTATGAGTAATACACTATCTGAATACATGAAATTTATCTTAACTTTTAGCAAAAGAAATACTCATCTGAAGTTTTTTTTTCTTTCTTTTGGGTAGATACATTAATTAAACAGCCTCACTTATCTGTTTCAAAGCAATAAACTTTAACCTTACTAACCGAACCAATCTTAATAATACAAAAGCTCCATCTAAGAAAAGATAAATTAACAAATTATCTCCCGGTAATTAATTAAAAAGGTGTGCAGTTTGAATTATAAAATCCATTTCGATAATGTAGCCCTTACAGTTATAAATACACATTTTCATGCATGATTACTGAGTGATTCCGACGCAGACTTGTACACTTCATTTTATTGGTGTATCGAGTGTAACACTTTTAGAACTAGTTTGTTATATGAAGCAAATTCTATTTGAATCACATGAGGATTTTACTCCGACTCCCAAGGGGGGCGGGAAGATTCGCAGTATAAATGTAACACATTTAGGACTAGATTGTTATATGTAGAAAACTGTACTTTAATTGTCTAAGGATTTTACTCTGACTTCCCGATGGAGTAGGAGTATCCGCAGAACGAAAAACAAATAGAGTTGATGTATGTATGATGTTTGGTTGTCTTTTACTCGCCACATTGAATATATATTTACATAGGTTTTTGAAGAATATGTAGTGATGATGCTGATAATTTATTCTTCTGGATTAGTCAGCAGACACGTTGCTGAAGATATTGAAAAAAATATGAAGCCTAATATATAATGCGGCTCATCATTGGTCACCGAGTTAGATCCATTTTTGGAAATTTCGCCCCTCATCAGTAATCCTGGACAATGGCAAGACTATCGAAAATCAAGACTAGGCAATATTGATATGTTTGGTTGTCTGTTATGGTGAGCTTATATTTTTACAGGATTCTTTTTATTATTTATTTTTTTACAGTGTAGATCTATGGGTAAGTTTACCCACAAGACGTCACATTCCAACTATGACAAGAATTTCGCTTTTGTCTTTATTGAAATAGAAAAGCTATCGATCTATCGCTAATAAATAGAAGTAGTTCTGTTCAAAAAAGAAAGTAAAAGAAAAGAAAGAAAACATTATTTGGATAAGTATGCGGTATTCAAAGTTGGCTCATAACACAACATTCATGTATACGACGGATTAGTATAGAAACTATACCAAATTTATAGATTAATCAATCCCCTGTACTTAAAATAGATAAAATATATGTCTATGCGTGTGTATGATTAAAAGTTATAACTTAGGCCTACAAGGGATTGAGCTTGAGTGGCCTACTAAGTTTTATCATTTGTAAACTCGAAAATGAATTCCAAATATTTTAAATTTAAAATACAATAACAAACATGCATATATATACATGTATAGATACATTCACATCATAAGTCATATCTTTGTCAAATTTTATCCCGAGTTTTATCATCCTTATACAGGGTAGCTTAATAAACATGGCATTTTACACACATATACATATACATACTGTTTATTATTCAATTGTTGGTTTTCCTGTCACCGAACATGATCACCCTTTCAGCCATAGGGTGTTATAATTTGATGGTTAATCCCAATATTCACTGGCAGTGTGTAGCCCAAGAGTTGGCGGTGGGCGGTGTTGACTAGCTGCCTTCTCTCCAATATGTTACTTCTAAATTATGGTCAGCTAGCATAGACAGCCCACGAGTAGCTTTGCGCGAAATTCAACAATCAAACAAACAAATTTATTGTTCTTACGTTTGTTTGTAATTAAACACAAAGTTACACAATGGGCTATCTGTGCTCTGCCCACCACGGGTATCGAAACCCGGATTCTAGCGTTGTATTTGAAAAACTAGTTGTTCGTTTGTAACTGAAGCCCATAATATTATGATACTTATTTCTGAAATTTTCTAAGTTGCGCATATCGCGTGAACGCTATTCCGCGGTGGCTCAGCAGTATGTCTGCGCGATTAAAACGTTAAAAACTGGGTTTCAATACATGCGGTGGGCAGAATACAGATAGTCCATTACGTAGTTTTATGCTTGACAACAAACTCTCGTATTTAATGAAATAAAAACTAGCACATTATTACTATTCTTTGGACGCACCTTACCAAGTATCAGTCTGAAATTGTTAAATTACATTATAACGTATTATACTGATGTGGAGAGTTAATCGTGGACTTCATGTCGCATGAAACATTTTGTAGGAGGA